AATATTGTAATATGAAGTAGGCATACAAGTATTATAAAATTCGGATAGATGTTCGTCTTTAGAAGCATAAACGGATGATGGCTAATCAATCTTAAGATAGAGAAGATTAATAGCATTAAAAGCTGTAGCAAAAGGGTAAATATGTTTTTTTTATGTTGAAAGTAATGAACAAACGAGAGCATATAAGTGAAGAGTAGAAATAGAATGTAAACGATAGAAGCAATCTTATGAAACCAAGCCAACAAAGTCTCGACTCAAAAATGTAGCCCACAGAGTAAGAGTTGAATAATCATAAGGGACCACTAGCATAAACTTATTACAATATCTAAAGACATAAAGGAAAGAAGAGACACAAGAAAGGAAATAATAAGGATACGATACATAAGTAAGGATTAGAAATAGTGAGATAATAGAAGAGTCAGGATGTAGACGCTTAGCTATATTGGCATTCGAGAAACATGTGAAGAGATATAAACAAAAGATAAGATAGTAATGGAATAGATTGTTGTGGGTCCGTGAAAATATGAGAAAGCAAATACCAAATATGAGGTCAATCGAAAATTTTAGTGGTTTAAGCTGATTTACCGTTAGCTCTAATTGCATGCCGAATGTAGCACGTGTGAAGGCCGGGAGTAGGAAAAGGGTTGATTGCGAGTAATATTTGCAAATTTTGAGGGTGACTACACTGATCCATACTCAGGAAGGATCAGATATTTGACTCCATGTGTATGTATGAGCGTAAATGTCAACGACTTGGAAAGGAAGGGTGACTTTGAGTCAAGAGAAATCAGGTAATTCCGCTTTTCAACCTGGAATCAGTACGCTTCCCAGTGGCTAGGCTTTGTGAGTGCGGTGTCTGTCTAAGTAGACTATGCCCACTTTCAGCACATATGCCTGTACCAGAAGAAGACCGGCCTCGCTTGGCAGAGCGGAATTGTCCCACAGGCCGACAAGCCGATTTCCCTGCACACCGAGGGTTTCGAAATCGAGCAATCTCCGGAATATTCATCTCGTCATCCTCCACCTCTTGGTCTTCTTCATCATCCTCGTATTCAAAACCGTCAGAGGCGAAGTCCTCGTCGCCCTCGTCCTCATCATCTCCATCATCCTCCCCGTCATCGGCATCCAGATCATCACCAGCCTCCTCTTCATCCTCTTCTGCCTCACTGCCCGCACTCACAAATTGGCCTGAACCAGATGGAACTCGTGGTCGGCGACGCAGCTCGACTGCTTCACTGCCTGTTTGACGCCGTGTTCTTGTCTTGGTCGAATTGCGAAGTCGTCTATCTGAGGATGTGCTAGTCACTGCTCTTGTTAGGACTTGACTGGCCTGGGTTGCCGAACCAGCTAGGCTAGAAGCGGACGAGTCGTAAGCAAGAACAGAGTTTGATACAGAGAGCAGGTTTACTCCAACATTACCAGGAATTATTGATGAAGTAGATGCTCCAACAGTAGAGGGATGTGTCGAGTCAAGGCCTTCTGGACAGTTTATCATCCTGGCTGGAGCCATTAAATTGGTAGAATGCTCGCCGCTAGGAAGTGCGAGGAGTGATGGTGTAGTAGATATCAGTTGCGACACGGATTGAGGAACAGGTCTACCAGGAGCAGTCGAGGGGCTGGT